CCTGAAATCCAATGACCCCTTTGAAAGCCTGAAGGTGCATAATTTCCTCATTTTACTTTCTTATTACCTATCACAGTTTCAGAAGCTCTGAAATGTCAGGATAGCACACTCCCCCTCCCACCCACCCCTCACCAAATGAAAAGTTTTTAATAAGAGGCATTTTGAGTATTTTGCAAATCTCATTTTTTGTAACAATGTTTTGAAAAAGAAAAAAAATACATTTTCATTTTCCTAAAACTTGTGGCAACATATGAGATCTGCAAAACACTTACCATGCCAGGATAGCACAACCCCCCTCCCCCCCCAATTGACCCCTTTTCAGAAAGTAGACACCCCTGGGAGGCATGTTGAGTCCATGGAATATTTTATTTTTGGTAACACGTTTGTGGAAAATGACAAAAACAATTTTTTTTTAACAAAGTTATCACTTAAAAGAGAAGTAGGGCTTTTTTTCTCTCTTTATACTTACCTAGGTCGGACAGCATTCTGTATCTGTCCCTGCTGGCTCTAGGGGTGAGAACTCAGTGATTACATGATCGCTGAGTTCTCACAACCGCTCTGAGCAGTGAGCGGGACTGTCAGTCACCGCTCTCTGCTCAGCCTCCCCAGCATTCACTAGAGTGCTGGGCTGTGGAGGGGGAGGGAGCAGCTGGCTCAGGCTCTCATCGATTCACTGAGAGGCTGAGCTAGGTGCAGCTCCAGACTCTGGGGAGGATCCCGAATTTGAAGTCGGTATCTTTCCCCAGCTTGGACTGGCTGAGTGACATCAGCCAACAACAGACTTCAGTCCGCTGTCAGCTGAAAACGGGTCACAGGAGTGCAGAACGAACTGAACTCATGTGATCCACAGGAGAAGTACAGCCAAAAAAGCTTTGGCTGTACTTCTCCTTTTAAATTATATATTACTCACACATGCCAAGTAGACACCCAAGGAATTTAATAAGAGGCATGTTGAGTATTTTGCAGATCTCAATTTTTGTCACAAAGTTTTGAAAAGGAAAAAAACAAATTTAGTTTTTCTTAGTTTTCCAAAAACTTTTGGCAACAAATGAGATCTCTGCAAAATATTCACTATGTCTCTCAGCAAATACTTGGAGTATCTACTTTCCAAAAAGGGGTAATTTGAGGGTGTTTTTTATCATTATGGCATTTCAGGGCCTCCCAAACTATGATAGGTAGTCAGGAAGTGTAACGAGGAAATACTGCCGTTTAAAAGCTGGAAGGTGCTTACTGGATTTTGTACGTGGCTAGACTGCCAAAAAAGTCTCTTACATGTGGTATCCCTATACTTGGGAGAAGAAGCAAAATGTATTTTGGGGTGTAATATTTCACATTTACCCCACGGCATGTGTGAGCAATATATCATTTAAAGTAGCTGTAAAGGCTCAAGGTTTTTACCTTCATACATTCTATGCATGAAGATAAAAAAAACCTTCTCTTTGCAGCAGCTCCACCAGCCCCTCCTAATACTCACCTAAGCCCCCTCTCGATCCAGAGATGTGCACTGGAGTCTCAGCTACAGCTATCCCAGGACTTCCTCTCCTCATTGGCTGAGACAGCAGCTGGAGCCATTCACTCCCACTGCTGTCAATCACAGCCAGTGAGCCAATGAGAAGAGAGGGGCAGGGCCAAACCACAGCTCCATGTGCGAATGGACACACAGAGCAGCAGGTGCCCCCATAGCATGGAGAGCCTGCAGGGGACCCAAGAAGAGGAGGATCCAGGCTGCTCTGTGCAAAACCAATGCACACAGCAGGTAAGTATAGACAGGTTTGTTATTTTTAGAAAAAAAAATAAAGCCTTCAGTATTGCTTTAAGTTACAACTTATACCACACATCAACCACTCGACAAAGCCTTTTATGTCACTTTGGCCCTGATTTACTAAGAATCGAATCTAACAGCAGTCGCTGAACATTCAGGCAGACTCAATTCAATTGATTAAGACCTTTCAGTAGTCAGAAAAACGTCTAGCAAGCTGATTAAAAGGTGTCTATCTCATAGACACAGTTCCCGTCGTAAATGTGCAAACCATCTTAGACACATTTCTAGGAGCAATGCTGGATATGGTCGCTAGGTGGCGCACAAGCTTGTTGTTTGTCCCGTTCACATTTTTTTGTGTGTCAGAGAATATTTTTCTGTATTTGTTGAGATTGTTGCCTCTTTGTTCTTGCTTTTTTTTCTCCCAAAATGATGGGCCAACTAATGCATTTCCTAATGAATGTTACAAAGTCATACATCCTGTTTTTCAAATATCAAACATTTTCAAACATCTCAAATAATTTGAATGTCTAACTCTAATTTCCCAATATAATTATATATCTTCATTCTCTTTAATCATGTAACTATTCTACATTCCTAGTCAAACTTTGTTACAGTGGCTTAGTGGTTAGCTCAGGGCTTGCAGCACTTAGGTCATGGGTTCTAATCCCAGTCATGGCCGCACCTGTCTGGAGTTTGCATGCTTTCTCTGTGCGGGTGTGTTTCTGCCAACACTCCAAAGACATGCTGTTAGGTTAATTGGGCCTAGTATATGTCTGAGTTTCTGGCCGTAGATTGTAAGCTCCTTGACATTACAGACTATTTTGAAGGCCCAAAATATGGAGGTCAATTTCCAGGGTTTTGACAGTGCCAGGAATATTGATCAATCATATAAGATTTTGGCTACTGAATAGAAAGTGGAGAGGGAGTGAACCTTACCTGCGTCCTGTTCTTCTGAAATTTTAAATTTTACTTCTGTTTATATTTGATTGCAACTTTGCTTCTCTTCTCTTAAACCTCTCTCCTTATACAACTTGATCCGCTCCCCCCCCCCCCCCCCCCCCCGTTCCATCTGAAAATCTATATATCACCGCCCAACTCTTTTTATTTAACTATGCATTTACTGCTGATCTATTTAATGTGTCTAATTTCCTGTCACCTCCAGCTCAGATCTAGCATTATTATAAGATTCCTGATTGTAATCTCACCACTAGTCTGATTACATTCACAATTCCTGGTCAGTCCCATTCCTATACCTATAATAACCTTTAGGGCCAGTTCACACTACATGTGTTTCAGTTGCTTTTTTCTGCATCCAAAACACACAGAAAGAAGGTTATTTGGTTGTCAATGTCATAGTTCACATCAGTGCTTGCAGTTCCAGTGTGTTCCGGGTGCAGCCAAAAAAGTCAAACAGGCTGCATTGTTTATGCACAGAACTGTACTGGAATGCGGTAAAATGCACTGGAGCGCACTAAAACGCACATGTCCCTAATTGAAGAAAAAGAGAGGGGAAAAAATTAACTGGAATGCATAAAAAAATGCACCTGAATGTGTCAAAAACGCATCCAAAATGCACTGGAACATGCTAAACATGCATTCAAAAAGTGCATGCAAAAACGCAATAGTAACACATCTAGACTGCATTTCTATAGTGTGAACTGAACTGGCCTTTTGGACTTGTTCACACCATTTGTGGTGTAAAAACACATGCAAGAGCACGCATTTTCCTGCAATGCAAAGAAATGCAATGCCCTTTGCAGATGTGCACAGATACCATGATGCAAGCTTAATTGCACCTCCACAAGTCTAGTTAACACAGATGCATTCACAGCCACCGAAATGCATGGCACCACACTGCTGAGTGGTTAGGTGCAACACACTTTTAAAATAATAAGCCTGCAGTGTTTTTGCATGTTCCCACATGTTAGGCAGCCCATTGAAATTAATGGCCTGAGGAAAAAAGTCAAAAATGCCACATTCACACAGGTCCTCTGGCCTGTACAGCATGAATGAGTGTATTGTTCATGTGGCTGGAGCCACCTGTTACACTATGGGGACACAGCAGCTGTATGAACACAGGTTTTAATCTGACAGGTGTGATGGCGTGGGGAAGTGGCCCTGAATGCTCACTGTCTGTGTTCAGGGCTGTACACCTGCACCCAAATGCCTGTCAAATTAGGATCTGCAGCATTTCCATAGAGTAACATAGGTTGCCTGCAAATGGGGACAGCCACAAAAACAAACCACTGATTCACACTCTACAGGCCACAGCACCCATGTGAATGAGCCCCAAGACCTCAGTTACACACAGCTTTATTTATTAACTCAGTACAGTTTTATCATTTAAATAAAACAGGAATTTTGTTGAGATTGTGTCCATTAATTTCTTTTTCAGTGTATTTTTACCATAAATAGAATTTTGATATTTTCTCTGGCGGTAGGGGGCTGTCAGGTAGGATGTACAGGGCCCAGTGATATCTAATAGTTGCCCTGGGTGTATGCTTGTGTCTGTGCCACCTGTATAGTTATAAACAACAAAAACTTCTTCTATGGAATACTTTGAACCTCTGCTATGTACCTTAATGCATCTAGGAATTGGACACGTTTTCTACTGAAAATACGATTATTAGTAATGTTTCCCCTGAAGCAAGATGACCTAACTACTTAGTATTAGAAAGCATCCTGAATTCTCATTTTCCAGAATGTACCCAATTATTCATAGGCCAGATCTGAGTGCCCAAATAGGACCTCCCAGTGGCTATTTTATGGACAAGGTACACTTTTCTTTATGCCTGATCTATGTTGAGCTGCATTAGTCAATATATTGCAATGGACGGAAAGATTTTGACCCAAACCACATGAGCTCAGGTATCCAAACATGAATGTTCCTTCATAGCAAACCTCCATTATGTACAGTATGGGCCTGGCCCACTCTAAATGAATGCATTGTTCTGGTAGGTCGTTCTATTACAGACTTTAGCTATATGTTGAGAAAATTGCAATGACTTTTCAGCAATCAGATTGCATATTATCTGGCCATCTTAAGTCTAGGAAATAGAATCAAGAGGATATGACACTATTTGAACCACCTTCCGCCCGCCCTATAGTACAATGACGGGCGCAAAGTGGTTCTCTCGTTCTGATAGGACGTCATATGACGTCCTACCATTCTCACTGCGCATGCGCGGCTCAGGGAGCGCGCAGCAGCGGATCACGGAAAGAGCTGAAGATGTCGGCTCGGTCATGTGATCAGCTGTGTCCAATCACAGCTGATCACATGTAAACACGGAAATGCCGGTTATCTGCATTTCTCTTCTCTCGATCTGTCGCACTGACAGCTCGAGAGGAGAGGAGAGCCGGTAATCGGCTTTCCGTGGAGGGGACATGTACACTGATCATCAGGGCACTAATGATCAGTGTGCCCTGATGATCAGTGTGGCCCCAGAAGTGCCACATTCCAGTGCCCATCAGTGCCACGTGCCATTGCCCATCAGTGCCACATCAATGCCACATATCAGTGCATACCAGTGCACATCAATGCCACATATCAGTGTCATGTATCAGTGCTGCCCATCAGTGATGCCTGTCAATGCCCATCAGTGCAACCTACCAGTGCCTCCTCATCAGTGCCCATCAGTGCCACATATCAGTGTCCATCAGTGCAGCCTATCAGTGCCCATCACTGCAGCCTCATTAGCGCACATCAGTGAAGGAGTAAAATCACTTATTTACAAAATTGTTTAACAAAAACTAAGAAAAAATTTTTTTTTTTTTTTCGAAATTTTCAGTGGTTTTTGGTTTGTTTCAGAAAAAAAAAAAAACCAGAGGTGATTAAATACCACCAAAAGAAATCTCTATCCGTCTCAAAAAAATGATAAAAATTTCATATGGGTACAGTGTTGCATGACCGCCCAATTGTCAAAGTGTGACAGTGCTGAAAGCTGGAAATTGGCCCGGGCAGGAAGGGGGTATAAGTGCCCTGTAGGCTAGTGGTTAAGGAACAAAAAATAGTCTTTATTTGACAAACCAGAAAAAAAAAGGGAAACACATGGTCTGATGTAAAGACATGGCTGCCAGCTCCCAATTTTTGGGCAAACCAAAAACAGGCTCTGCTCTTTGCCAACACACAGCTCAAACATATCTGGAAAATATGGGGACTCCGATATCCGGTACAAGTTTGTTCAGGAATGAGAAGCAAATATGCACCCCCAAAAGCAGCATGGTCAAGTTGCAGTGCTGCTTCCAAACCACCTCTGGCATGCCAGGGTATTTATGTAGGTCCTTGATGCCAGTTCTTGCCTGGTGCCACAAAATATCTACTACTGGCCACAAATGAAGGCGAGTGGAGGACATGAAGGTGGCTTTCTCCAAGCTGGAGCCCGTCAGCAGGACCACTCCTGTAAAATGAGAGCAAAGAATCATTGACATTTCATCATGACAATCACTTCTCAGTGCAGGCTAGCTAGAGTATATTTTTCATTTTTTATCATTTCAGGAGCTGAAGTAAACATTTTTGGAGCAATTACGGTGTTTGGAAAGACCCCTCCCCAGACACACTAATGCTTCCTTGAGGTTGAGACCCATTCTAATTCCCTGATGAGCTTTGCTCTCTGGGCTCCATGGCTCATAAGTGAGTCTTCTTGGGCTCTCACCAGAACTAGGGGCACTGGACAGGAGAGGGGACAAGGAATACTGCCGGGGGACCAACGAAATGAAGGATCTGGGCTGCTCTGTGGCAAACTACTGTGCAGAGCACGTAAGTCTTACGTGTTTATTATTTTATTTTGGAACAATTGTTAAGATCACTTTTCAAAACCCACCTGTGATGCCAGACAGCTAATTCCAACAGCCTTCCCAGGGTCTCCCTCTGTCTTGTACTTTAGATGTTAATCGGCTGAAAGAAAAATAAAAACATTTAGATGCATAGCAGAGGTTCTTTTTTCTTCATAAATCTACAGGTGGCACAGACAATAGGCAAAACTGGCCAGCTGTTCTGCTCCCTCTCCACTCTCTTGTCCAAAGCTACAGCATTTATTCATGTAATGTTTGAGTGGCCAGGACAACTTGTTGTCATGGTGACTACACACTGGCTAAAATGGCAAGCACTGCTTTGCGCCGCCCTATAGTTTTGATCTAACTGCACTTTTGGTCACAAACGTATGGACTCTGAAGATCAACTTGCTGAATAATATCTCCCAGGATGCCCCCTCCAGATAACCACCTAAAGGTCAGCTGTAATTCCTCATAAACAAAAAGCTCAGTATAGTGCTTAATCCTTTAAAAACTTTTATTGCACAATAAACGATAAGAAATGAACTCACATTCTGGAGGTGCATACCGCACCAGGTATGATGAACATCCCGTAATGTACTTCTTTAGGCACAAGATGGCAGTATCATCCCCAGCAACATAGACCAGTCTGGGCTCCAAAAACGTCAACACACTGTAATGCAAGGCAAGGGCCATATCATTACTGCCATCTTGTGTCTAAAGAAGTACATTACTGGGTGTTCATCATACCTGGTGCAGTATACACCTCCGGAATGTGAATGCATTTCTTATGGTTTAAACACATTGTACTTTAACTAATTACACTAATGCATTCTGTACACTCATGCACGGTACACTCACACACTGTACACTAAAACAGTAAAATGCGTTAGAGTGTACATTGCATTAGTGTAAAATGCGTTAGACTACAGTGCGTTAGAGTGTACAGTGCATTAGTGTAAAATGCGTTAGAGCACAATGCACTGTACACCAGCACATTGTACACTAATGCATTGTACTCCAACTTATTTTACACCAATGCACTGCACATGCTAATGCATTGTACTCTAACTCAATGTACACTAAGGCATGGTATGCAGTATACATGTACATATTTGCAAAGATTAAACATGAAGGCCTAGCTGCAGGGATGGTTAATATTGGTGACCCATCAATACCCGCCAGCTAATATGCAGATAAACAGGAAGTAGCATGTGTATGCACGTGCACTAAGTGACATGCTGCTAGCCCCCCAAAACCTGCACATTACCTGTTAAACAAAAAAAAGCATCAAACTATCACATAACCCCCCACATGCTATGAACATAGTTGCAACGGCCACACTTACTTTGCAAGTGAGGATCACCTCCTCGGTCGAGAACAGCGAGTTTACCATGTCCAGATGTGGTCTGGAATTCCACAAAAGAACAACTCGCAAAGCCAAAAAATAGATTTGCAAATCACCACTAAACTCTCCTAACTACACTTCCATCCACTAACACTCCCCACTACCAATTCCGGGTGCGCGCGAACTTTCCTTCTTCAAACATGATGATGTATTTCCGTTATGACAGCCGCACTGGTGCCTCCTCTGACAGCAGTCTTGGTGTTTATTTGTGCGCCATAGCAATTTTACATGCAGCTCCATTGTGTATATGACATTCGCGAATATATGTTTGCAGCTCTATTGTGTATTTGGCATTGGCGAATATATGTTTGCAGCTCTATTGTGTATTTGGCATTGGCGAATATATGTTTGCCGGTAAAGGCCCAAAGTAAACATAAATTAGGGGCCTCATTTATTACTGTTAAGAGGATTGTAGAAAAAGAATAGCTAGCTGCACATTTAACACGTCCTATTCATTGGTACATAACATTGTCTTGTGGTGCAATAGGGTGCTTTTGGTTTGTTAGTTTGGACATACTTGCATATGTGCGCTCTAACAAGCTAGATTGCACCTGATTAGCCAGCACCAATCCTCTTTCCACCTGCGTTAACCCTTGGTATACAGGCCCCACAAATCAGAGTCAGAAAGAAAGCAACAGTGAACTGTACCTGTGCAGCATACAACAGAACATTGAACAGGGATGTGAAGGGGAACCCCATGGCAACGTTTATTGGCACTATGGGCACAATTCACTCAAGCTTATCACATGAGTTTCAGGCAGTCACATGACCACATCTCGCATGCGATACTGAAAATGTCAATTCACTTTTGCTAGTATGCGGGATTTCCCATAAATCAGAAAAACACTCAGGAAATCAAACATAAAAAGACCTTACACCCCGGTCACATCAAAGCCGATTTGTAAATTGTGTGACTTACAGTGAAGTTGCCGATTTCCTTGTGATTTGCAAGACATCTGACTCAGATGACTATGCAAATCCCCACAAAAGTAGTACATGCACTACTTTAGAAATAAGTGTCAAATGCACCCATGTGACCGCTCTAATAGCGAACAATAGGGTGCAACTTGGCATACGATTTGCAAGTCGCATGTCATGCAAATTGCATGCCAAGTCGCATTCTATGTGACCGCTATTAGAGCGGTCATATCGGTGTGGTTCAAACTTTGTTGGAGCTGCAATGATTAATAAAGTAGCGAATATGTGTCAGATGTCTTGCAAATCACACCTGAAATCGGCATGTCCCCTGACTTTTAAAGCATGTGACTTACAGTGAAATCGCATGATTTCAAAGTTGGGCTTGATGTGACTGTGGTGTAAGTCGCACGATTTCAAAATCCACTTTGATGTGACCTGGGTGGCCCCGTCACATCTGGTGTGATTTGGCATGCGATTTGCATGCCAGGTGACTTGCAAATCATAGGCCAAGTTGCAACCTATTGTCCACTATAATAAAATGTTGGATATACGAGCGCTAGGGTAACATAAAATGTTATGGTATACAGTCAGCCGCCAACATATAAAGGAAATACCTGAATCCTCTAGTATATAGTGCAAAAATTGAAAAAAATGCAGCGCTGCAGCGCTTCATATTAGGAATAAACATGACATAAGATGGAAATAAAAAGGTGTATAAAAGTCTTAAGAAGTGCAACGTGGTATTCGTGATTCCTTAGATGGTTATTTGAAATGACGTGACTTCCGTGGATCATGGAAAGTGAGTATATAATGTACTAACCAGATAGCACATATTAATGTGCGTTGGAGTGAATAAGACCTACTCCGAAGGTACTCTGGAGACCGGAACTCTGCACAAAGGTGATGTCGTCAGGTGGGGTAGAGTCACCAGCAGAAACGCTCACCAATCTTGACTGGAACTCTGGCCAAGTATTGTCTTGGGGGTCAAAATGCAATCGGACTTGTCTCCCTAAGGTGCTCCCCACCTCGCACTGTCCCAGAGTGGCATAATAATATAACCAGCACCTGGCTACATGTATTTGCAATGTTTTATATCAGGAACTAAGACATTTTTTTTCAACAAGCTTATGTCCTACAATAAGGGTAGGCAAATTTTGAGTATAGCATGAGAAAAGAGAATTTGAGAAAATCGAGTTGCAGTTATGTAAAAAGTCAATCTAACACTCTTGATCACAAAAAGGAATTTTTATATTGCATATGCTGTAAAGTATTTGAATAACAGTAAGAAATGAACATTGAGCTTTCAAAGGTCAGTGTTACATGGTAAAGTAAATGTTAATTTACCTTTGTTTCAGTAGAGGAATAAGTAGATGTGTGTTGCAAGGTAAGTACAGTAAGGTTAATCACCACTTTCTTCATTTTCACACCTTAGATCAGCTGCAATTCCTGCACCTTCACACCCCAGGTCAACACCAATTCCTGCACCTCCAGACTTCAAATCACCCCAATTCTTGCACCTTCAGACCTCAGATCACCACAATTTCTGCACCTTCAGGCCTAAGAT